CCCCCTGCAGCCTTGCACAGTGGTCCGGTCCAGTGCGGTCAGACTCCCAGTGCACTGTGGGTCTGATCCACTCCAGGTTTCACAGTGCGATCGGACTCCCAGTGCACTGTGGGTCTGATCCACTCCAGGTTTCATAGTGCGGTCGGACTCCCAGTGCACTGTGGGTCTGATCCACTCCAGGTTTCACAGTGCGATCGGACTCCCAGCGCACAGCAGTGAAATCCTGTTCATGTGCTGCAGAGCGCCTAACCAGCCTCCCAAGCCGTGTCCAGCTGAGTGGTGTTACAGGAACGTTCTGTTGCTGGGTCTGCACTCGTCCTGCTGAGCCTCAGTACAGGAGGCAGGTCTGCAGTTTCTCCTCTAACGGCAGTTTCTCTCTGTGCCCTGCAGGTGGCGATAAATGAGGCCTACGCAGCAGGGCTGATTGGCCACAATGCCTGCGGCTCGGGGTACGATTTCGACGTGTATGTGACACGGGGGGCGGGGGCGTACATCTGCGGAGAGGAGACGGCGCTGATCGAGTCCATCGAGGGCAAGCAGGGGAAGCCGAGGCTGAAGCCCCCTTTCCCAGCCGATGTGGGTGAGTGCGCCCTCTGGTGGCCCCTCCCCCCCCCCCTCACAGGGCAGCCGGGGCGCGGCGTTCACCCGAAACTCACTGCACCTTTCTGTGCCTGCCAGGGGTCTTTGGCTGCCCGACAACAGTCGCCAACGTAGAAACCGTTTCCGTGGCGCCCGCGATCTGTCGTCGGGGGGGCACCTGGTTCGCCGGGTTTGGGAGAGAGAGGAATTCTGGGACGAAGCTGTTCAACATCTCGGGTCACGTCAATCACCCCTGCACTGTGGAGGAGGAGATGTCCGTCCCCCTGAAGGAGCTGATCGAGAGGCACGCGGGTACGGTCCGGCACACACTCTGGGTCCGTCCATCATCTCCCTGGGGGGGCTTTCCCAGGTCCTCCTGACCCTCCTGACCCTCCGGCCCTGTGCTTCAGGTGGAGTGAGGGGAGGCTGGGACAACCTGCTGGCGGTCATCCCGGGGGGCTCGTCCACGCCCCTGATCCCCAGGTCCGTGTGCGAGGACGTGATGATGGACTTCGACGCGCTGATCCAGGCCCAGACCGGCCTGGGCACCGCCGCCATCATCGTCATGGACAAATCGGTACTGGGCGCGCGGGCCGCTGATTCTGCGCGCGGCGTTGCGATGTGGCCGAGAGGTTCCGCGCACGGCCGAGTGGTCGCACGATCCTGTCCAGCCGTTTCCTAAAAGCATTGAAGACCAGGCTGAGCGCTAGGGCCAGGCTGCTGCTGATGATCCGTCCTTCGGATGAGACACAAAACCGAGGTCCTGACTCTCTGGTCATTAAAAATCCCAGGGCGTTTCTCGAAAAGAGTAGGGGTGTTACCCCGGTGCCCTGGCCAGACTCCCCCCCCTGGCTTTTATCAATCATGGCCTCCTGATAATCCCTGTCTATGAATTATGATTATGGTTATTAATCATAAAGAGGCTTTCCAAACCCGAGGATGCTGAACCAGGAACCACTGGGATTCATGTGTAGAAAAGTCTCCAGTTCTCAGTGCTGCCTTCACACTTGAATCCTTGAACCCTGAGCTGGGGATGTACATTAAGAACATGACCGGTGCATTCTTTAGTCTGTTTTAGTTTAGGCTAGTTTGTGGGATGTGGTTTAGCATTCAAATTTGACCCTTGTTAGATCCCTCAATGTGTGGTGATTTTAACAAAATCCCGTCTGCCCGTTTCGATCAGCCAGTTCAGGACAACAGTGCTCCTGCACTCGGGGGGTGGCGGGGGCGTGCCTGTGCACTGTACGAGAGCAGCTCTTCACCTGCGGTGACACTTTCTTCTGTTTCAGACCGACATCATCAAAGCCATCGCTCGCCTCATCGAGTTCTACAAACACGAGAGCTGTGGACAGTGCACCCCCTGCAGGGAAGGTGAGGTAGTGCACAGTGCAGAAATCAGTACATTCTGCTCTATTACTCTGCTGCAAAGCTCACTCAGTGTGTCTGCATGAAACCCCTCTGGATTTGGTCAGATGGAAGAAAGCCACACAAACTTGGTGAGAACATGCAACCTCCACACAGATAGTAGCCCAAGGCCCCAGTGCTAAACACTGTGCTGCCCTCTGAACTGTCTTCTCCTACTGAGCCGGCGCAGTGCTGGCCAAGCAGACACGACTGTCCAGCAGCACCCTCTGTGCAGAGCTAGTGCCTCTGAACCGCATTATCTTTTGTCCTCCTAGGCGTGGACTGGATGAACAAGATGATGTGGCGGTTTGTCCAGGGTGACGCCCGCGTGTCCGAGATCGATATGATCTGGGAAATCAGCAAACAGATCGAGGGACACACCATCTGCGCCCTGGGGGATGGAGCAGCCTGGCCCGTACAGGTAATCACAGCACAGGAAAAAGCAGAGCTGGTACAAAGGGGCATGCTTAATACTAGAGCTCTCTCTCTCTGAGGCCCGCCACACTGGGAAGGTGCATCTAGCCAGTGTTCGCTGGCCTCCAGTCTCCGTGAGGCAGCGGCATGCTGTTATCTGCAACGTTCTTGCATCGCGGTCAGTCGGTCTCGTCTTTCTCCTTCCCCCAGGGGCTGATCCGACACTTCCGGCCGGAGATGGAAAGCAGGATCGCCCAGTTCCAGCAGCTGCCGCAGCAGCAGGCCAGAGCCTGAAGAGCTCAGCCCCCTCTCTTCCTTCCCTGCATTTGACCACTGATGTTTTCGCCGCATGTTGTCAATGGTCAATAATAAACGTGAAACTGAAACTAAAGCATCATTCCCATTTCTGGTTTCTGAGCAGCGGGCAGCCACATCCACCCTTACTCACGGTTAGGCACAGGTTGGGAAGGCCTGCATGTGTAGTGACCTGGGCTGTATCAGTGTCTCAGCCCGGGGGAGAGACAGAGCCTAGAGACCATGTGTGCTACCACTCTCTCAGCAGCACCAGTTTCACCTCTGGTGTACAGAAAATAAAATTTAGATAAATATAATTTATAGAAATGCACTTTCCTCTGATGTGACCTTGCTGGAATACATGTATAAAGGTTGATTGTGAAACTACAACTCGGAAGTGTCCGGAAGTCCTACAGATCCTCCCTACTCCTGCCTTTCTAGAAGTGGGACTTGAGCGAGGCTCTAGAAAAGAAGAGGACTAGATCATTTGCCACCTCTGAAAGCACAGTTGTCTCAGGACAGGGATGCGATTTCTCCAGATCTGCTACAGCCTACTTTGGGCTTCCCCGGCAGTGTTCAGACCAAACCAGGTGAGACCAGAGCCCAGTCAGGACCTGTATCTGGCCCAGGGTTAGCTAGCTCATGGATTCTACAACAACGACAGACAAGAGTTGAACATTTTTTGTTTAATGATATTTCGGGGAACAAAATGCAGTCTCTGCACCATGGCTCTCATACTCTCTCTCTGGGACCCCCAACTTCATCTTCCTCGCTCACGGTGACACACGACAGGGACCCCAACCCCGATAGCCAGCCCCCCCCCCCAGATCTCCCTTCTCATCTGAGCTCCAGCAACAATGCACGCCCTCCCACCCTCCACCCCGTACATCCGAAAGAACGTTAAAAAACCATTCAAGAATAAACGTATGTACAAAAATATGCATATCGGTTAATAACACAGATTAAAGATCCTTAAACAATGCAAACACTGCTGGTCAAGACCCCATCGCGCAGAGAACCCAGGACAGCAGGGCTGCAGCAGCAGCATCGCTCAGGCCCAAGGCCGCGCAGCCGGAGGGAGCCGAACCTGAGGAGGATCGAGATGTATCCCACAGTCCTTTACAGCAGGCGGACCTGTTATGTCTCTCCCGCACAGCGTTTCTCCAAACCTCCTGCCTCCGGGGGATAATCGGGGGAACCGGGACGCCTGGCGGGGCGCTGGCGCAATGCTCTCCGCCAGCCAGAGGGGGGGGGGGGCGCCGTGAGGGCGTGCCCAGCCACCCCTCCCACCCCGCGCTGAGAAGCGCTACAGTAAGGGCATGCAGTGTGAAAGGGAGCAGGGCCGGGGCGTGGAGGACGACAACAGATTCAAAACCAAGGAAAGGAAAAGGCTTCTTGCAGTCCAGATCCGGAGCGATCCCAGGGTCAGGGAGCCATCCAGAAGGGCATCTGCTGCTGAGGCGCGGGCTTAGTCCTGGGGTTCTGGGGGGCGCCGCGGTACCCCGAGCTCCAGGACGCCTGGGCAAAGCTACCTGCGTTTTTACTGGCCGCGTGGTCCTCCTCTTCGTCGGAGGAGTCGCCGGTGTAGGCCACCAGCCCGCTCCCCTTGGGCGCCGTCTTCGCCCGCTTGGCTTGGGGCTCTGCAAGAGAGAGGGGGGGAGAAAGAGAGGGAGAGAGAGAGAGGCGGACAGGACAGGACAGGACGGCAGCCACAGGAATCCCAGCCATGTCATAAAACAAGTTAGTGACGCGTGTCGATGTTGCCAGAGAGGCACGTTCGGGACAGAGAGAGGGGGAGAAGGGGGGG